CCACGCCAGAGCCTGACTTGGCGGTGGGACCACGCCCCTGGGTTTGGCTGTAATATTGCATTCCATTGCTTCTAAGACACCATATCTTTCCCCAATTTGATCAGGATGCTCCCTTTCATTGTGGTCCCTTAGAGTCGATGAAATCCGGTCAGAATAATATTAATAAACAACAGCTGATGTGTAGGAAGCCCTTGGTATGTTCCGTGCCAGGGACCATTCTCCCACTGAATCTCGCGTGAAGCTGGGAAGGCGGATTCCTCTGGAACGCCTCAGTCCTGGCCCTGGTGGTGCCCTAGGTGTGGTCCCCGACCAACCGGAACTTGCCAGCAAGGCCAATCCTCCGGCCCCGGCCCAGGCCGGCTGGATGGGCGTGGGGCCCAGAAATCTGGGTCGTAAGAGTCCTCTGAGTCAGCCTGAGTCATGTTCAAGGCTACACACCAGGGTCTTTGGCAAAGGTTCCTGACAGGGGATGCTACCGACATCTACTGGATGGAGGCCAGGGATGCAGCCGGCAATGCCAGGAGAGCTCCGGGCACAGCCCTCCGGCCCCAGACATGGGCAGGACCTTCGCCGGGAAACCTCACTCTATAAAGCGGGGGTGGGAGACCTTTTTTCTGCCCAGGGCCATTTGGATATTTATAACATCCTTCTCGAGCCACACAAAATTCTCAACTTGAAAATCAGCCGTCCCATACTGTGTGGCTCAATGGTTCCGCGTCGACCAGGAGGTCACGGTTCGATTCCCCGGTCAGGGCACAGGTCTGGGTTGTGGGCTCAATCAATGATTTGAGGCTTTGGTGTGCAGGTAGCAGCCGATCAAGATCAATGATTCTCTCTCACCACTGATGTTTTGATCTCTCTCTCCCTCTCCCTTCCTCTCGCTCTAAAATCAGTAAAACCATATTTTTTAAGAATCAGCCTGCTAGCCTGGCCGCCGTGGCTCTGTGGTTGAGCATCGACCTATGAACCAGGAGGTCACGGTTCGATTCCCGGTCAGGGCACAGGCCCGGGTTGCGGGCTCGATCCCCAGTAGGGGACATGCAGGAGGCAGCCGATCCATGATTCTCTGTCATCATTGATGTTTCTATCTCTCTCTCCCTCTCCCTTCCTCTCTGAATTTAAAACAAAAACAACAACAACAAAAATCAGCCTGCTCTATTTGGTCAAACATTTAATTAACGCTCCCCGAATGCCTTGTGGCAAGCAGGGCCAAACCAAATGATTTTGAGGGCCTTCTACGGCCCGAGAGCCGGACGTTCCCCACCCCTGCCCCAAAGTCACTCCGCGTGTCATTCTGGTGAGCAGGGGGCACACAGAGGTGAAGTCAGGTGCCCAAAATCACACCCCCAGTAACTGGCAGAGCTAGGGCTTAAACTGAGCCCGTCTGTCCCAGATCCCCGCACCCACCCTCTCCCCTCAACCCCCCGGCCATGCTGTGACTCAATGAGGTGGTCGCTCATTATCCATGCTTTCCTCAGAGTGGGGGAGGCCCAGGGTCACTGAGCTAAGAAGCTGCAGAGCCAGGGCCCAGGGGCGGTCGGATCCCAAAGAGAGCAGAGGCCCGCCATCGGACGGCCTGAGGCCCGAGCCATTGGCACACCAGGTCTCATTCCTTCCTGGACACTCTGGGAGGTGGTGTTACTCACCCCGGCCGCCTGGGACTCCAGGCCTCGCCTCCCAGTTTGGAAAGTCCTACATACACACTGCAGGCCCCATTCTCCAGAGAGGAAGCCGGTCAGAGAGGTGAAGACTCACCCAGGCCACCAGCCAGGCCAGGAGCAGGACGGGCGGAGGCCAGGCCTGGCTCCAACCCTAAGCCCGATCCCAACGACAACCCCTCTCCTGGCAGGTGTTCAGACCCATTTCACAGATGAGGAGCCAGAGGCTGGGCGGGGATCCGTGTGCTCGGAGACTGGGGGCGGGACACGGGGTGAGGGCTGTACCTGTAGGACCCTGAGATGACCCTCTCACCGTCCAGCAGCACGAACTTCTCCCGCACCCCGCCCGTCACCTGCCGTCGCCGGCGGCTCTGGAAACTGCAGCCCCGCAGGACGCGGATGTCCAGGTTCTGGGAGGTGGGGGGACACAGCCTCGCTGAGGCGGACCTCACAGACTTCCACCTGGGGGGTCCTCCAGGCTGCCCGCCCCCCCCATCACTTTGTGGAGAGTCTGTCCCAGCTTCCCCAGGGCCACCAATCGTGGGATTCAGGGGTCTCCTGGGGGTTCCCCCAACTCAGAGGGACCCTGTGCGAAGGCCCACCTGCTTCCCCCAGTGCCAGGGGCACCAGATCCCTGGGGACCCTCTCCGCTGGCACCCACCTTGCTGGCCCAGGACCCACCCCGGGGACAGTCTCCCTCCGCTGCCCCCCGCACCAGGGGGATGGGGACTCAGGTCCCTTCCGCCAGGCCCTACCTCAGTGGCCCAGGGATTCACCCCCAGCTGCTGGGCCAGGGTCAGGAAGGCAGGCAGCTGCTGGCGGTCCAGGAGCAGGTAGACGGGCACCCAGCGGCGGGTGGCGGCATCCACCATGTCCAAAAGCAGGTCTGGGTCCGTGAATATGTCCATGACGACGGCCACCAGCTGGGGGCGGGGAGAGGGGCTGTGGATAGAGCCTGGGGCTTGGGGGACCCTCGGAAGGTGGGGCCCTGGCGGTGAGATGCTGGAGGGCAGAGGTCAAGGGCCCAGCTCTGTGGGATGGTCACAAAGTGCCTGCACCTGAACAAGGGGCAGGACTCCCCGGAGCCCCCCGGCTCGGCTGCGTCACTGTCATCATGTCAACAGTGGTGAACGGGGTCCCCGAGCCAGGACGCTACACGGTGGCCCTGCTCCAGGCGTGGGCTGGAGGCCTGTGCAGCGCAGTGCACTGTGGGAACCTGCACACCTGGGTCCTGGGGGCGCCCTGGAGCCAGGGGCGGAGGGAGCTCTGAGGCTGGGGGGCTCCCAGGGACCTGGGTCTTGCAGGCAGAAGGTGTGGTGATGAGCCCTGAGCCCTGATTCCTGGTTCAAGTCTCTGCTTGGCCACCCCAGGCGGGAGACTTAACGTCCCATGCCTCAGTTTCCCCATCTCCTAAACGGACATAGTGAGTCCCAACCTCACAGGGCCCTTGTGAGAATTACACGTCAACCCAGGTAAGGTACTTGGCGTGGGAGCTGGCAAACACCAAACCTTTTCAATAAAAAGGGGCCAGCCAGGGGGCCGCAGGGGAGACAACGGGGCCCTCCCTGGGGGCCGGGGAGGGGGGGAGGGTCGATGACTGAGACAAGAGGGATCATAATTAGCCCCAACGGGCATGGATGTGTAAGGGCTGAGGATGGGGTCCCTCATATCTAAGAGGCCGAGGACGGGGTCTGGGGGCGTGGACTCCTGGGTCCGGGCATGTGAACCTGACAGTCCCCGGAGGGCCTGGGTGCGAATCCCTGGCCCAGGGGATGGTGCTCCCGGGCCGGGAGCTGCAGGGAGGATGTCTGGGTCTGGGGAATGGACTCCAGGCCCCCCCAGGCCCTGCCCCCACCTTGCAGGCGGCCTGGATTTCCTGGTGCATCAGGTCCTTGAGGGATGGGTGGCCCTCGCCCGGTGGCTGGGTGTATAGCTGCGCCCGGGTGATGCCCTTCCAGCCCGAGTCCTCCGGCCAGCCCAGCCGCAGCACCGGCACCGGCTCCTCCGACTGCCCCGGCCAGTAGGTCAGGCTGCGGGGGTCCCCACTGGCCACGGCTCCCTCGGCGCTGCCGGGCTCCTGCTTGGCCGCCGTCCAGTCCTCAGCCGTGGCAGCCAGGCCCTGCAGCTCGGCCCGGCTCAGGAAGGGCCGCAGCTCCTCGCGCTGCACACAGGCCTCGAAGGCCTCGGCGCCCTCACTCAGCAGAGCCTCGAGTGCCAGCCGCTGGCCCTCGGAATACAGGAAGCCCGGGCTGGTCTCCGTCAGGGGCGGCTCCCCGGCCGCCGACGCCACTCCTTCCAGGGCTGCCAGCTGCGAGGCCGCCATGGGGCCCCCGGGGCGGACCTTGAGGCTGGGTGTCTGAGGGCGTGGCCGTCTCCCAGGCACTGACCATCAGGGTCTCCTTTCAGCTTCCTATGCCAGGCTTGCAGGGCAGCTGAGGAATCTGGTGGCTCGCTGTGCTGTCCTGACCATCAGGCTGCGCGAATGACCGGCCGACCGACGCTGCTCAGACCAACTGCCCGCCAGCCTGCAGCCGCCATGGCTGGCCGGCCATCCGACCTGGCTGTCAGCCGTGTGACGATCTGGCTGCCCCCACAAGTGGTCCTGCATGTGGGTTTGGCTGAGCACCTGGCACCGTCTCCGAACTCGGTGAGCTGTCAGCTGCCCATCTCTGCTCCGGCACACGACAGCCTCCAACCTGCTGGACACACGGTGCCCCACCGGCCCTCCCGCGGGCTCAGGCGTGGTCGGGCTGACCACCTACCTGTCCTGGTCCAAGGCCCACTACTGCCTGGCCATCTCCAGGCAACAGGCTACCTGCCTGGCTGCAACTACCTGAATGTCTCTCACCAAAGGGAGAGCGGGATGCCTGTGTGCCCCCGGCCTACAGCACGTCTAACTGACCCTCTGGCCGACCCTTCGATCGGCTGGAAGACCAACAGGTTCAATGACCACCCCGTGGAACTCCCCGCTGTGTTCAGGGGATGCTTCTCCCGACAGCTGGCCGGCTAGCTCACAGCTCTCACTGGCCGACCACTCTGGACCCGCCTGAGCCCTGAAGAAACGTACTCCAGCCCTCAGTCTGGGCATCGCCCTTCCCAGCCAGGAATTCAGTCTCCCCAGGGGGTGGGCCTTCACACCCACTCAGGCTGCTACAGTGGGGAGAGCACTCCACTGGGGGGCTCATTACCGGCCCATGACCTCCTCAACCCCTCTAGCCTGAGGGCAGCCTAGATAGGGCCACCGCTCCCGGGACCGGGTGCCCCTGCCTGTCCCCTGATCTATGCTGATCCCTGGTTTTGGGGCCTGAATTCCACTATCTCCTGCTAGCTGACCGCTACTTATGCCTAATGGAAGTTGGACAAGGACCACTCTACATCATTTGAGGCTCCTGACCCAACCTGTGGACCCCAATTCGTGCAACCCCGCCTTCCAATCAATCCCAGCACCCAGATGCCCCCCTCCTCCAGGGCACAGCGACTAGCCCTGCAAGAGAAGGAAGAGGAATTAAGCCAGGGCCCCTCTCCCTCCGGCCCGGCCAGCCCGCCACCCGCCGCCCCTCCTCTTGCCTTTTCAGGAGGACAATGTAATCCGGGCCTTCAGGCCTGAGCCTGTTTCTGCTTCTTCCTCCGGCCGACTGGCCACATTCATCAGGCTTCACCCTGGCATCCTGGGAACCCAGCCCCTTGTGCAAACACAGGGAGGGCCCACGCAGGTCCCCGGGGAGGCCCGGGGCGTGGGGCCCAGGGTATGAGGTCCCGACCCGGGAGCACTCACCAGGCTGCCTCCCCAGAGGCCAGCGGCCCGCCAGACTCAGGTTTCAGTAAAGGGGGTGCCTCACCCATCCCCACCTCCACACTTCCCTGTCCAAGCCCGCCCAGTATCTTCAGCGCAGGGGAGGGGACCACGGGTCCTTTAAGAGGGGTGTGGCTGTTCCCAGGAAGCAGGTGCAGGAACACCTGACACCTGGCTCTGGGAAGGAGGCGGGGCTTCCCCAATAGCGGCTGCAAGGGTCCAACAGGTGCAGGGCCGGAAGCAGCTGAGCAGACCTGGCCGCCAGAGGGCGCCCGCAGGCTGAGGGGGCAGGAAGGCTGGCGGAGGAACACCTGGGCGGAGGAGGGGCGTCTCCATGGAGACCTGCGCGGGTGTCCAATTCCCCCAAACAAATGCCTGGCCCACAGGCTCACCTCCCAACTCCACCCCCAATAACACACACGGGCGGTCAGCATCCAAAACCTCTTTAATAACATGATAGGATTGAGGGTTAGTTTTTGTAGCCGCGGCTGGCGCGGCGGCCTCTTGCACGCTCGAACTTCCGGCCCTTGGATCGCACGTAGGGTCTGTGGGGAAGAGAGGAGGGCAGGGCTGATTGGAG